TGCGTTATCGACTGATTAGATACGAGATTTGATGAACTGGGGGCATTATCATTTTATTGATTTATCAGATCGGCATCGTTATAACCGTAATCAGATTACAATGACTGATTAAAACAGACTATTTTGACTGTTATATGTTAATTAATCTTAATTACAAAAGAAAAGGTTTGATATGTCACCTGACTTTGAGTGTCACCTTCACGCAAAAAAGGACAGATTCATGCTGTGATGTTCACTTAGCAGATATATTCAAGAAGTGTTATTTCATTACCATATTTTAGGTCATAAAAATAAAAGTCATCAACACCTAGGCCATATGGTATCATAAAGTTTTACCTAAACTATTAATCTCACCAGACGACAGTTAGGCACAATTAATATACCCTTAATAATTATAATCATGTTCTGACAGTTTAAGGTACCGTTAAAACATATGTTCAAAATACTAGCCCTGATTGCATGCGTGTATTAAATTTACAGAAAAGTACATTATGCTTAATTCAAATGCATCAGATATTAACAATTTTGAAAGGAGGGGGGATCTGGGTCGTTCAGCATTTTATTTTGACTTATCGTGAAGCATACATAATATAGTATACAGAATATCTAATTAATTTCAATGAGATTTTATAAGATTTTAATCAGAATAAACATCAGAATAAACGATACTTTATATATTTGTTTATATCTTCAGGAAGTAAATTTTCACACATATATATAGTTGGGCATTTGATTACATACTTTTAATGAACAGTGCTGTTGTATATTTATTTTTGTGTCAGAAAATTCACGTTAATAGGTAGAAAAATGATAATAATTGTGAAAAAAAATATTGGTATATTACAATTAATTTAGAAAAAAGTACCCCCCCACCCTTCCCCCCTAGACAAAACAAACCCAATGATTGTCGTCTTGTCGAAAGCAAGGAGATCTTTAAGATGTATGAGTGAAATAACTGCCTACTTGGATCTTTTGACATACATTCTTCTTTTTGTCAAGCTTGCGAAATTTATTTCGTGAAAGCGAGACTTGGCGATCCTAGATTCCGTCGTCAGCGTTTAGGTTCAGTCTGAGGTTAAAGTTTTGTGTTACTTCAAAAGTTTTGTCAAACATACTGGAATTTCGGGAAATTAGGACAGAAGCTTCTTTATGACCAAAATACATGAGTATCCAGGGCAAAATTTTGCAGATATTTATTTTCATTTTTCCGTATTTTACTACTAAATCGACTTCGTTTTTTTTTTTCGAAACAGTTAAATTCGGGTTTTGTCTGAGGTTAAAGTTTTTCATGCAGTCATCAATAACCGTTTTGTTTAATCGTCCAGTTGCAAGTTAAATGTATATCCATGCAGGTCAAGATCATGATAATGATATATGAATGTTTAAACTGTTTTGTTCTACATTGCGCTGGACTTTTCACTTGTTTGTTAAAAAAATGCAACAGTCTTAGTTTATTAGTGGGTGTGGCTTTTTTGCTAAGAGTTTAATTCCATACGACGAACTGGAGCTGTTGTTTTTATAGGAACTTTTTTATGATGGGTTTAACAAGGAACGTATATACTGTTCCAAGGTTAAACGATCAAACTATTCATACAATATTGAAAACATTACATTAATGAAGCCATGGTTATATTTTATTGAATACTTCGCATACTATTATTTTATTCGGCTTTGTGTTATGACCAGCATCAACTTTTCAAAAAGCTCCGTTTTACATGACAATCATATGGTTTAATTTGTTTATCTATATCCGCCCGACACAAGCCAAAGAGAATAAATTATGTAGTGTCACTGTTGAATAATATACTGTTTTGGCAATTAATGCCATTACGTCAGCATGTATCTGGAAATTATTCTCAATCGCAAAAGATGATATTTCTGCACATAAACTTCCTCAAAGTTCGTGGAAGCTTCCAGGCCCTCGTTCCTTCTTTGTCAAACATTTCGTTTTGGTTATTTGCAAGGTAAATTTCAAGTTTCCTTCAAATTTCTTTCCCAATTTTCTCCCGTAATTTTCAAACACTAGGTGGTCTCGAAATTTTACACAATATTTTTTTTTACTTTATTAAACATAAACATAAACCAAAAAACCAGATGACACTCAACGACTTCACAGGTAAACGGGAAAGCGGCGGACATCCTTAACATCGATATTGATGTGTACCATATACATGTATGACTTTGCCCCCAGTTCATCCAAATCTCGCATATTCTCGCATGAATTTTAATTAAACGCTTGACCCACTGAGAATTCTAGGTCGCGAACAAGCTTTCCCTGAACTAGAGTATTGCAGATTTATACAGGATTACGCAACATTATATGAATTGAATTTATATATATATATGTGTAATATTTATTATATAATTAGTAGTAAATACAAGAAAATTCATGTCTAATACAATCGATGGCAATAGTTCTGTATCAGCCAACCGTGATGATATCGATATCAGTCACGATCTGTATGACGTCACGTAATCGATATCAGTCACGGTTACAAGGGCTTTTAACAAACCCCTTATATGTTTTACGTCATGCCGTGTGTACTTGAGGTACATGTATATTATAAAGTGTATATGAGCTCTTGGGATTATATTGGTGTTTCGGGTTGCTACATGTGTGATATTGAAAAAGCCATATGATATTCTCTTTATATTTTATATTACCATAATCGCCCTTTTTGATGATTTTTAGCTCTAGGTGTAAAACGAAAATTCTAGTGGCTATAGAATGATCTTTATTCTGCTTGTGCTGTTTCTATCTGTAACGCTCGTGTCTATCCTTTGTACCTTTTGTGAAAGAGAACCAACATGTATCGATGATTTATGAATTTTGTGATGTATTAAAGAGACAAAAAAATTCTCGAATCCTCTTTTTCATCATGCGTAATCATCAGATATGCCTGTACCAAGTCCGGAATATGACAGTTGTCCTCCATTTGTTTTATGTGTTTGAGCTTTTGATTTTGCCATTTTATAAAGGACTTTCCGTTTTGAATTTCCCTTGGATTTCGGTATTTTTGTTATTTTACTTTTTATATGACTCTTCAATCTTTGTATTTTTTAACTGGATTACCATTTCGGCTGTCATAAGTGAAGCAGGATATGATGACCCTTCCGGTGAACCTAATTTAATTTCTAATTTATAGCAGAGTTCGTGTATGTATCTTAATCTAAATTTTCTGTGTTATATTTTGCAGGCTGTAGTTTATCTGTCCTTTTTTCTCATGGCCCTGATGGAGTTGTCTGTTTTTCTAATGGCCATGATGGTGTTGTCTTTTTTTCTCATGGCCATGATGGAGTTTGTCTGTTTTTCTTAAGGTCATGATGGAGTTGTCTGTTTTTCTCAGGGCCATGATGGAGTTATCTGTTTTTCTCATGGCCATGATGGAGTTATCTGTTTTTCTCATGGCCATGATGGAGTTGTCTGTTTTTCTCATGGCCATGATGGAGTTGTCTGTTTTTCTCATGGCCATGATGGAGTTGTCAGTTTTTCTCATGGCCATGATGTAGTTATCAGTGTTTTCTCAAGGCCATGATGGAGTTATCTGTATTTCTCATGGCCATGATGGAGTTATCTGTTTTTCTCATAGCCATGATGGAGTTGACTGTTTTTCTCATGGCCATGATGGAGTTGTCTGTTTTTCTCATAGCCATGATGGAGTTATCTGTTTTTCTCATGGCCATGATGGATTTTTTTTTCCTCATGGCCATGATGGAGTTGTCTGTTTTTCTCATGGTCATGATGGAGTTGACTGTTTTTCTCATTGCCATGATGGAGTTGTCAGTTTTTCTCAAGGCCATGATTGATTTGTCTGTTTTTCTCATGGTCATGATGGAGTTGTCTGTTTTTCTCATGGCCATGATGGAGTTGTCTGCTTTTCTCATGGCCATGATGGAGTTGTCTGTTTTTTTCGATTTATGATTCTGATTGCCCAATTGGTATCTTCTTTTTTTTTATCATCCTAAAAAATAAGTTATAAAAAGAGACCAATCAAATTGTACCTTGTGTTTTGATTGTTAGCGCGCACCTTCTATTATGTAGCAGAAATCGTATGATAATAATTTCCATAAAAACTGCACATATTTGCTCGAGGCAAAGCTTTCCCAGATCCCCCCTCCCCCTCCCCCCCCCCCAAAAAAAAAAAAGGGTTTGAGAGCTTTGAAACTAATATGGCCGGAATGGAACAGCCAATACCCTCTTTTGAGCTTTATTACTGTATTACATAATCTCACATTCATTGATATTGATCTTTTTATAAAAGTGTTTTTCACAAATTAAATTTTTCGAGGTATAAAAATATCGTTTCAAAAACATATCTTTAAACAAAAACAAGAATGAAATAGCACGTTTACACGTACATTTATTAATGATTGGAGGAAATTAAATGTCATGACATTGTTCAACATAATTGCCAAACTTAACATTATGCAATTATAATTGTTATGTTTTAAAAATTGTGCAAGATGAAAGTTTATCTTAACCTGATTCAAAACAAGAACCATATACATAAATTATTTTACCTTTTAAGAGGAAGTGTTAACTCAATTTAAGACAATTTTTAACTGTCGTTTCACATGCAACTATTTAATGGAAACTCAATAGGGAAGCACGTGTACGACCGTTTTCTAATGGCTATTGAATTATCAAACATAATTTAAAACAATTACGTAACGTTTGGTGTCCTGAACTTCACGGATATTATTTTTCGATACCTGTCCAAATATAACTCTTTCCTAATACATTTTGATTGTATTACGGACATAAATAGTAACAGCAACAAGTACATGCCCTCCACCATCATTAATTAACATCTGATGACCATGTTTTGTAATGAACATTGTCCATCTCTTCTTCCTCTATTCTGTGCAATCTCCATTAAAAGTTAAATCCACAAATCGGAAACGGTGAAGAAACGCCGGAAAGAAGGAATTAATCGCTAATTGATAGGCGATGTTCAGAGAATAAATTACATTGTTAAATACATGATTTGAATGTAGCATTTATTATAATCAAATGATCCTACGGCTTAACATTGATAGGATTTGTAGCTGACGTCGACACGGTCAAATTATTTATGGTATAAATTTACCAATTTACACGTTTACAATCTTATTGACATCTAGAGGAACTATAAGACAGTGCTTAAAACTGATACGGGGTTGAAATCAATCATTACATTCTGAATACGGGTACCAGGTTTAACTGTTGCTAACAGTCAGCGAGTTTGTGGGTATCCCAACACCAAGGTGCCCGGACATTTAATAATGAAACATAGATTTGTTTTTATTGTCTTCTGTGCTGGACTTTGCTGCCTTGTGACCGGAGTGCCATTAAACTCGTTATTATCAAGGTAATTCATTTTTCTTATTATCAATTTTAATTATCATCTAAAATATGCTACCTCTTAAGTACAAAATGTATATTGAAAAAAAACTTATTTTTATCATACATCAATGTAATTTTGTGAAGTAACTTACAATGCACTTTATTCGTGTTTCCGGAATATCAACCAAGTGAAATTAATTCCAAAAGTTTTATTACCAAAAACAGACAATATATTCGAATGTATCACAATACATGTAAATTTCTTTTATCATCAGGTACACTCGCGTCCAAAGATATTTGGAAACTAAACACACAAAACATGTGGAGCACAAAAATCCGATATAAGTTGTATGTGTTTAAGTTAAATTCATTATTACAAAATTTATATTGCTTATAAAGCTTTCATTGGCCCTATAAACCTGCCAAGAATTGAACACAACCACCAGCTAAAAACAGGAAAAGAAACAAATGTTCCACAAGTTATAGTGATTTATTTTGCCCAATTTCGTCGAATGTTTGTTCTAATTTTTGTAGGCAAAAAAACATTTTTTTATACGTTATTGTATATCATATATGATCAAAAGATGTAGGTTATATGTCAATGAAAAAGGAAACAAACGACAAAATAAAAATAACCAAAAGATAGCTGTAGAGGTCAACCTACGTCTTCAACAATAAAATGGCGACTGTACAATTAAACTCACCAAAGATATATTTGTACGCCAGACTCGCGTTTCTTCTACAAAACACTCATCAGTGACGATCGAATCAAAACAAGTTAAAAGACCAAACCAAGTACGAAGTTGAAGAGTATTGAGGACTTAAAATTTCAAAAGGTTTTGCCAAATACAACTAAGGTAATCTATTCCTTGGGTAGAAAATCTTTTGTTTTTCGAACAATTCAAAGTTTTGTAAACTGTTAATTCATAAATATGATATGTTAATCTATTAAACGCAATGAGTCTAGAAAAGTTTTTGAATACATTTTACAAATACTATCAATGGTGATTTAATTGATGAGTTGCTACATTGGCGTACGCTAAACATGTCATTGGCGTACGCTAAACATGTCATTTTATTAAAGCAAACAACAGCATAGGAAGCATCAACGTAAATTTAAAAAGTGTGGAATAGATCTGGTAATGTGTCCTTCACACTGATGATGGTTTATACGTATAATGTTGTTAATTTGATATAGCAGTGAAATTAACTTCACGAGATAAGAGTACTGAAAATTTAATTCTATTTCTGCTGTGATCCATACTAGTAATAAAGTTCTGAAAATTTAGGTTTTTTTGTGCTTTGGTTCATAAAAGAGGGTGTGGATAGGGGTTTACAAAATAAAGAATAATGGGCAAAAAATAGAAAAAAAATGGATCAAAAATTAGGAATAGAGAATAATGGGGAAAAAGTGTAACGAATAGAGAACTAAAGGCTCTAAGAGCCTGTGTCGCTCACTTATAGGTCTATGTGCATAATCACTCTCTCCAACATTGTAGACAAGAAACACTGGACACTTTTAATTTGCAAAACACTCATTTGCAAATCCGCCGCCGCCTCTCCTTAGAGCTACAGTGTCATGTATATAACCAAAATGTGCAGAATTACATGGGATTCAATAATTTAATTGCTTTTCTGCTGTTATTATTATAGATATTTTGTAATTTGATTTAGAAAAACATGGGATTTTCAATATCCCATGGGATAGGGCAAATCCCATGGGATTGACCATTATCCCATGGGATTTTGGTCAAATCCCATAGGATTTTTTGGGGTCCCATGGGATAATTGTAGTCCCATGGGATATTTGTTGTCCCATGGGACAAAAAAAATCCCATGGGACTATAATTATCCCATGGGATTTTTAATATCCCATGGGACACATGGGATAAAATAAAATCCTATGGGATTCAAATTATAAATATACAGTAAATAAATGTGTATGTTACAATGAATTCTGTTTGGTAGTAAATTGTTTTAAGATGAATCTTTTTAGTTGAATATCTTTTTTTCCTTGGAAATGTTAATGCAATTATATTGTTCTATAACTGTTCAAAACTAAACTTTTAAACAACAAAGCAGATAATGTAAGTATCAATATATGTTTATTTATGAATTCTAGAATACTTTTTTGAAACACAATTTTTCCCATTTGAAATCAATGAAAACTCTATTAATAGGCTTAACATACTAGTAGCTTTTTACATAAATCTATTTTTTTTTCAGGATATCCCTCCACCCAAAAAATTAATAGTTTCTTATCATCCAGCATTGTGTGATCGTAATGTATAGTCCACTTTTTGGCCATTCAGCACAGAACATAGTCATTATTGTGGTTTTAATATCTTTAGATATTTAATAGAACTTCAATTCATTGACTGAGTGATGAAAATAATAACTGATCTGACTTTTGTCTTTGAATTTATTTTGGTCTTGATTCTGTGTTTTCTCTTTTTATTCTAAGTGATGAATTTCAATCCTTCTGAAAAAGAACCAATAAAATCCGAAGTTATGGATAATAAAAAATTGTTTGCATACATGTAGCAATAACATATGATTTTCAATAAAAATAGCTATGCGATATGGATTTTACTGATTGTTGAAGGTTGTCCAGTGTCATCAGTTGCTAACCTCCTACATCCTTTGGTCTCTGATGGAGAGTTGTCAAATTAGCAACATACCACATCTTCCTATTTTAATATTATATAACAATCAATTTATGTATTCTTCTTTATAACATTTGGGTATTTTCCCCAGTTATATATATATAGATCAATGTTAAAACTTTAGGCAATTACAATAAAATTCCATTTTTCACAAGAATTTGCAATATATATTACAGAAAACCAACAATAGAAACAGCACTTCTTCAAGCTTCTGAAGTTCTGAAAGAGTTCCACTTGTGTTTTATTTCAATTAGAAAATACATTGAACTCTTTGGACATGTTGGAAATTATAACATTGATACAAAAAATTATATTGTTTTTTTTCTTATTTTTGTGTTGTTCGGTTGCTGTCTCATTTTTATATATGGTTATACATATATCCTAAATCTTCTTTTTTTTTAAACTTAATCATTAATAGTAAAAATGGGATATTTTTTATTTTGATAATCTCAAAACATTATTATTCTATCAAATAACTTATTTCCAAGTTCACAAAACACCAATGTGTCAGATATTAAATTTAAGACATGTATAAACATGATCAACAAGCAGTTGACAGGATGTCATGCAAAAATCTCACTAATATTAAACTTTCACAAAAACTCCATACTCAGCGAGTACTATTAACGTTCTTTATAGTACATGACAAATTCCTAATACAGGACACCATGCCTGGTAAACACTAGCATGTGTCAATGTCTAGTCAATCATGTAATCAGGCTCAAAATCTTAGTTTGGCACTGAATTTAAAAATTCAACACATAATGAACATGTGTATGAAATTCAACTTTATGGTAAGCTATATACCTTAACCTAAAACTTTAACCTAAGAATGTACTATAATTTCACATTATGACATTTCTATGTTCAGTGATTCATAAAATCAGGGTAAAAACAGTAAATGTGGTGTATAATGTATAAACAAGAGTGCACACGCTGAAATGTTGCGCCTTCCTTACTAATCATTGATATCATGTTGATAGTACTAAATATAAAGCTTTACTACAACTATCACATAAACTCAACATGATCCAAGAAAATGAATTCAAGGTCATATGAACCTGACAAGAAATATATGTACACCTTACAATCATTCAATATACTAAATACAGTTGAACTATTGCTTATAGTTTCTAACATTGTCTAAGAAGCAGACTTAACCAAGAAAACTAAACATTGACCAATGAACCATGAAAATGAGGTGAAGGGCAGATGAACCATGCCAGGCAGACATGTACAGCTTACAATCCTTCCATACAACACATATAGCTGACCTATTGCTTATAGATTAAGAAAAACAGACCAAAACACAAAAACTTAACACTGAGCAATGAACCGTGAAAATGAGGTCAAGGTCAAATAAAACCTGCGAGACTGACATACATGTACATCATAAAATGTTTCCATACACCAAATATAGTTGAACTATTGCATTTAGTATTAGAAAAAAAGACAAAAACTCAAAAATTTAACTTTGACTACTGAACCATGAAAATGAGGACAAGGTCAGATGACACCTGCCAGCTAGACATGTACACCTTAAAATCATTCCATACACCAAATATAGTAGACCTATTGCATACAGTATAAGAAAAACAGACCAAAACACAAAAACTTAACTATAACCACTGAACCATGAAAATGAGGTCAAGGTCAGATGACACCTGCCAGTTGGTCATGTACACCTTACAGTCCTTCCATACACCGAATATACTAGACCTATTGCTTATAGTATCTGAGATATGGACTTGACCACCAAAACTTAACCTTAAATATAAAAAAGAAGATGTGGTATGATTGCAAATGAGACAACAACTCTCCACAAGTGACCAAATGACACAGAAATTAACAACTATAGGTCACCGTACGGCCTTCAACAATGAGCAAAGCCCATACTGCAGTCAGCTATAAAAGGCCCCGAAATGACAATGTAAAACAATTCAAACGAGAAAACTAACCGCCTAATTTATGTACAAAAAATGAACGAAAAACAAATATGTAACACATCAACAAACGACAACCACTGAATTACAGGCTCCTGACTTGTGACAGGCACATACATACAGAATGTGGCGGGGTTAAACATGTTAGCGGGATCCCAACCCTTCCCCTAACCTGGGACAGTGGTGTAACAGTACAACATAAGAACGAACTATAAAAATCAGTTGAAAGAGGCTTAACTCATCAGATGGATAAAAATACAAATACTACAAATACAAGTGGACGTGGCCGGGTACTTGTACATCCAAACAACAAAAAGACACTAAGTATAGATCTGAGAGTACTCGCAGTTACTGACAGCTAGTACAAAGCCACTAACAACTAATAAAAAAAATCATGCATCTAAGACTGAGTTCTTGTTCACTGATCCATGAAATGAGGTCTAGGTCAAGTGAAAACTCTCTGACGAGCATGAGGACCTTGCAAGGTACGCACATACCAAATATAGTTATCATATTACTCATAATATGAGAGAAATTAACATTCAAAAAAATCTGAACTTTTTTTTCAAGTAGTCACTGAACCATGAAAATGAGGTCAAGGACAATGGACATGTTTCAGACAGAATTGGTATCATGACATGCATGAGGCATCTATATACAAAGTATGAAGCATCCAGGTCTTCCACCTTCTAAAATAAAAAGCTTTTAGGAAGTTAGCTAACGCCACCGCCGTAGCCGCCACCGGATCACTATCCCTATGTCAAGCTTTCTGCGACAAAAGTTGCAGGCTCGACAAAAATACATGAACATTTTAAAGTACTAAATTTTAAGTATATACATGTAAAACCACAAGTTACTAACTGAAGTTCAGTCTCATGGTGAACTGTAACCAAAAACTTTAAGTGAATACAATTTAGAGAAAGACAGATGGACGCACAAACACTATCAAAACAGAGCATAAAACTTACCGAACAAGATCTTTCAGAAGCAGGAAAATTGAAGTGTTTCTTTTCTTTCTCTGCCCTCCATGATATAAACTTCAAATTCATTCATGCAAAATATGAAAATCTGCAAAAGTAGGACCTTGTACCGCAGCTTATCCACATTTTGACTTTTGAACTGCATTGTTCTTTTCATCTTGCTGGCAACCTAAACATAAAAAAAAAAATGATAAACACATAATTCTGGATTAACTTCGTGTATTTATTTTTGTTGGTACAAACAATTTTTTCCAACTTTAAACTAAATCTGCCTTTGCTTTAAAAAACAACTGGAAACCATTATTAACTGCATGTATTTATCTTAATTGAAAACAATTTCTTGAGTTTTTCTCATTTGTATCACCCTGTTATTATATATAAATTTTATTTTTGTCCCTTTTTAAAAATAGGAATGCATGGTTTAAATTCCTCAATAATCATGATAATTCTAGGTCAGTCAATTAAAAATGTATGAATAAATTATTTAACCTATATACTATTAATATCAATATATTTATTTTTTGATAAAAACTAGGCTCTGTGTTAAAGACCGTACCTTGACCTATAATGGTTTACTTTTATAAATTGTGAATTGGATGGATAGTTGTCTCATTGGCACTCATACCACATCTTCCTATATCTACAAACAGATTCTATGGGCGAGCAGACATTACATCCTGGAGGTGGTTTTATAAAAAGCATACGACTTAGATGTACCATAAGCATGGAAAAACAATTCAGCAGTCAGTTTCACAAAAAAACTTACAAATAATATTGATAGTAATTAAGTCATGTACAATACAGTATACTTTATACGATTACTTGTATTTTTTATTTTGTAAAACCGACTCAAGTATACTTATAATCAATCTTAGTCGTAAGTATTACGTATTATTCATCTTTTGGATAATTTTATGTTGGTTTATTTTATGAATATGCAGTGGCGGATCCAGAACTATTCACAAGAGAGGGCCGGCTCCAGTCATGCTTCAGTGATCCCTATATAATCAACCAAATTTTTTCCCAAGAAAGGGGTCCCCCCCCCCCCCCCCCCCCCCCCCCCCCCCCCCCCCCCTATTTGAACTTTCAAATTCACAACATGCCGGTGCCTGTGACTGTGTTCAAAGTGGTGGGTTTTCACCCTCGTTGTATTGCGGAATAACGATTTAGGCAAATTGAGAAAAACATCATGTCTGTGGTTGATAATAGTGTGTATGCATTAATTTTCTATACCTTCTTATTTAATATTTTTCCAATTTTGAGTACTGACGGCAAGTGTTGTAACGTATAGTGTACCAATGTCTTGAGACCAATGTGCTATTTACAAGTGCGATCGAGGAATGCAGGGGAAAGAAACTTATCAATTATGTTTATTCTTAAGACAAAACTGAGCCGCCGTAAAAATGAACCGTGTCGAGAATGTTATTGACACGTAATAGGGCAGAGACATATATACACATATGTGTATATATGTCTCTGTAATAGGGTCATCCCTCGAGAACATTAACTAGTACATTGATAATTTACTATGCAGTCAGTATCCCGAAAAAAAAACAACGTATGGATGCAAAACGCTTAGTGGTTTCGGCTGACTGCTGATACGTGCACTTTGTCTCAAAATATCCCGGATAGTTTTTTCATTACCAATCATACCACATCTCCTTATTTTTATATATACGAAAGCTTTATTCATATTTTTTGGTGTATTGATGAATGTGTAAAGATACATTTTAAAATACAGCACAAGAGATGCAGATTATATAAAACTTATAGGTCGAAGACATACTGACAACGCCATGGCAAAAACTTAAAAACGACCAAATGACGTACAATAGTCTATAAAACTTAACTATAGCATACAAAACGCAAATATTTAAAACACATAAGAAGCACCCAGACAGTCATATAGAAATTAAAAGAATAAATAATTTGTAAACTAGGCCTACAGCTAAATTTTCTTATCATCTAACAGTAAACATAGGTTCTGGTATTATGTGATAAGTCATTTTTTCATGCAGACCCAGTTTCATTGATACTTTGAACTTAAAGTGGTTTTATGCATATCAGCCCAGATTATCATATGTGTGTAATTTTATTAAACAATTCACTAATACACATTCTAAACAGGTTAAATTCAATTTACAAATTCAGATCTACTGGCATTCAACACCCAATTACTTACTTGCTGTATATTGCTAACTTTGATTGTATATTGTCAATCCCTCAACATCGTGAATACGCCATGCGAGGTGTTGGCTATGTTTGATACAGGGTGGCGGCTTCGAAGCGTAGAACAAAATCCAGGTAAATGAAAGTATAAAATTTTGTTGTTGAAAATTTTAAGTACTAAATTCCTAAATTTGTACTTAACTCCGTTCTACGGGTAACATGGTTGTTTGATATGAAAATAGGATAAAAGCTTCCGAAAATTATCACATTATAAGTATTCGTAAATGGATATGAAAAAACCTAACAAGGAATAAGTATTGGTAAACGGACAGAAAGTCGCAGTACAAAAGTTTAAATTAATTATTTTACAATTGTTTAAATATATGAGAGAAAGTTCTTGACGAATTGACTTTATTTATAGATAAATGTATTTAGTTGAGGAAATGATTAATTCGCCTTCAAATAGTTTTTTTTTTTATCAAAAACTTATAAAAAGGAGACATTTTTGACAGCATGAAACCAGTTAATTACCAAACCACTTTGGCAGATTGTTTTCTTAACAATAATTGTTCAATATTAATATTCAAAAATAAATTTTGTTTACAAGTCCGTTTCCTTTTAAAAATATTTCAGAAAAATGCTGAAACGTTTTTAAAATTAAGTTTATTCAAAGAAAAAAATATCCCAAAACTGAATCGTGACTTTTTACTTGTTACTTTATGTTGTACGTTCTAAGTGTCAATCCTAGCAAACACAAATTTGGAATTAAAATCGATTACAATGTAATTTTATAGAAGAAAAAAGGGGGTAAATGAACAAATTATTACTATACACTCATATACTTCTAAAAAGATTTGAATTTGTAAGCTGTCTATAGATAATGTTAAATCATTTCAAGAGTTTCAATTAATTTAGGAGAAAAAAAAGATTATAAACAGTTTAGTTTTACGTCGCCTACTACTATAAAAAATAGTGATTCTTTTTGTAGATTTGGTACTTCAGTTTCGACTCAAAATTTCCTATTGAAATTGTTAGAAATATTTAAGAGAAGATTGTATTTGTAATTTATGTAATTGTGGTGATATTGGCGACGCGATTCTTTATATTATAGCA